TTCAGACTGTGAAGCAGATGATGAAGACACTGCAGTCTTCAAGCCAGTCTTCTCAAAAGCTACAGAAGATCAAGTGGCTCTCACTTCTGAAGCAACAGCTGAGGATCTCCAAACATTTCCGGAAACCTCACCTGCCCTCGAAACGGAAACCTCACCCACACTTCAGGAAACTTCACATGTTTCTGAAATGGTTCTAACTAAAGTTGTTCAAGAGAAGGCAACCCCTCCCCCACAAGAACAGAACCAGGAAACAGCAGCAGAAGAAGAAGAATTTCAGCCACGAATCCAATCTCAAGTCTTGGAGATTCTCACCACTCCTTGTGAGATCTCCAATCCTACTGAAATTGAGATCCCGGAAAAGCCAGCTGAAATTCCGGAACAGTCAGCTCTTCCAGAAACAATGGAGCAAGCTGTTGAAGCACAGAGGGATTCTGGAGAAGCTGCAAAGGAAGATCAAATGGCAGAACTAGAGGTCTCTGAAACTCAAGTAGCCATCTCTGAAGAAGAGAATACAGCTGAAGAAAGAGACTCCCTCTCTAGGGATATATCAAATTTTGCGCTTGAAACAGAAGGAGAATCTGAAAGAACGCTGAAGGTCACTGATGAAGAAGATGTCCAAGAAGATGTTGAATCTCTTCCTATGCAACTCTTCCAAAGAACACCATCATCTCATCAGGTAACCAACTTTCATTTCCATAGCTCTTCCACCCCTGCTCTTCCGGATGAGATACCGGAAATCTGGACAAAGAAGGTCCAAGGGCTGATTGAATCAGCCCTAGCATCTCAACATGCCTCCTTTAGGCAAGAGATAGAACAAATGGAAGTCAGGCACACCTAGCTAATAGAGAAGTCTGAAGGAAAACACAGCGCAGATCTCAAAGAAATAAGCAAATCAGTGTAGAAGACTCTGGAGATTATCTCTCTATTGAGTGAAACTGTGAGCAACACGATGGAAATATATGCCTCTGACAGTCAACTTCATCTCAAAGAGATCAACAAAGTCAGATAGCAAATAGCGAGTGTCACAGTTAGTCTCCAAAAGCAGATGTCCCTTCTCCAAATGGACATCAGATCAGCCCTAGTAGTAGCTTCTGCAAATCAGGTAGTGACCAAAGACTACTTGAAGGTGATCATTGACAATCAAAAGGAAGCATTCAAGCTGTTCAGACTTATTGGTGCAAACTCTGGAAACCGCAAGATGGAAGTAATTCTCCAACAACACAGTCCATCTCCAATACCACAGCTTCCTATTGCAATCAAAGAAGGAGAAGTATCTTATATTCCTTCTCATCTGAACTTGACAAATCTAATCCTTGAAGCACAGCAAAGAAATCCGGAAAACTCAGCACAACTTCTATCCAGCTCAGGACTGGATGGAACAGAATTTATAGGTACAGTTGTTGACCACTTCTCAAATGATGCTCAATCAGAAGAAAGACGTGAAAATTTAAGACGCATCAAAGAACTGTGTGGGAACATGAAGGGCATCAGTGAAGTTGCCGGATCTTCAAAGCGCAAGAGAAACTGAAGGTTCTTTACATCAAAACAGGGGGAAAGTATGTGAAAACACTAATTTGTTTTGATGAAAACACCTTCTTGTTTAAACATTGCTTGATTGGTTTAAACATTGCTTAAT